ATTTTTGGTAAAAAGTGATATTTTCGACTTCTTGTTAAAAACCGCAAGTGCAATTGCTTTGATATTACATATATAGGTACTACATGTGGACCTCTCTCAGATTTGTTTATTTTGTGATGATATCTTAAATTCTCTAATTTTGGTGAATATTTTTGTAATTTTTGGTAAAAAGTGATATTTTCGACTTCTTGTTAAAAACCACTTGTCCGATTGCTTTGATATTACATATATAGGTACTACATGTGGACCTCTCTCAGATTTGTTCATTTCATGTTGATGTCATCAATTCTCTAATTTTCGTGAATATTTTTGTAATTTTTGGTAAAAAGTGATATTTTTGACTTCTTGTTAAAAACCAATAGTTCAATTGCTTTGATATTACATATTTAGATACTACATGTAGACCTTTCTCAGATTTGTTCATTTCGTGATGATATCTTGGATTCTATAATTTTGGTGAATATTTTTGTCATATTTGGTAAAAAGTGATATTTTCGACTTCTTGTTAAAAACCAAAAGTTCAATTGCTTTGATATTACATATATAGATACTATATGTAGACCTTTCTCAGATTTGTTCATTTCGTGATGATATCTTCAATTCTCTAATTTTGGTGAATATTTTGGTCATTTTTGGTAGAAAGTGATATTTTCGACTTCTTGTTAAAAACTGTAAGTCCGATTGCTTTGATACTATACATATTGTTCATTTTCTGATGATGTCTTCAGTTCTTTAATTGAAATGTGCATTTCTAACAGCGGAGCTATCTCAGCCGATAGGCTGCTTGTTATTGTTAATATACAAAAAAATGTTGGTTTGCCTTTAGTGATGTATTTAAAAACATCTTTGGTCCAGATGCTCTTTCCCTCAGACAGATAATTTTAGGCTGTACTGATTTTTCAGTGTTGGCAAATATTTGGTACTTTTAGGGAAGCAATATATTTATAATTGTAAAATGAGTAAGAGTCTACCGAGTGATGTATATTTTCATAAAGTGGTAACTGAAGCATGCGAGATTGAAAAGCATATAGCTATATCTAAAAACAAATTGGAATTACATTTACGGAAGTGGTCTATTATTCCCGATAGTGTGTACATTTTTTTGATTTCAGTGTATTAGCAATTATCTTGTTTTGTTTTATTTCTGTTACTCTTGTTTGCTTGTCTTTGTCTTTTTGTATTATGTAATTAATGTTTACTGTAATGTATGTAATTATTATAAAATGAAATAAAATTGTGTAAAGAGAAAAAAAAACTAACAATATTAAATTGCATAATATTCCATCTATATATTTAACACAGTTTTCTTAATCAAAATTTGGGTTGTTTTCAAAGTTAAAATTTGCTATGAAAGTGTTTTTTCAGGTTTTCAGTTTCAGAATGCCTCTCAAGTCAAATCTAATAAATAGGCAGTGGTCCTAGTCAAGACTAACATCATAAAAATTGAGGAAATCTTCGTACATTTCCACGTACTTATTTGATTATATCGCACGATCAAGAGCCGTGTTGCATTGATCAAAACAATAACATTGGGTATGAGCATACACATGCTGTATTTGTGCAATGCATCATGAGTGACATTATGATGTATGCTAAATTTATGTTAATGAAAATCATTTGTAAGACGTCTGGTAAACACTGGACGTTCTTATCTATCGAATACACACCCAGTGGAAGCATAACCAGCATAGTACAAAAGAAGATTTTTGTTTCTCAATGGTTTGTTGGAGGGATTGTAGTTTCACACATCCCTTTATATCATACAGATGACTTCTGTAACCTGTAAAATTTTCTTCACATTGTACTGTATTTCTTTTGTGCCCTCAAATGCGTCCAAATATAAACAGGAACTGCTATAAAAAGTTTAAATGTTCACCACATTCTGTATCATAGAGCACTGTATTTTTGACACAATTAGCCATCGTTGGTTTTCATTCGAAATGGCAAGCATACATTTTCGGTAAATTTTCACTTTTAGAAAATTTCAGGATTTTATGAAGACAAAATTTCGCAAAAGTCAATAACATTGCACGTTCTAGGACACCACATCACTTCTCTTCTACCAAATTTCACAATTTTCACACTCACAAAATTTTTATCTCGCAAAATTAAATCACTTCACAGACATTACATCTGCCATGACTTGCAAATTTGACAGTTTTGCTATCATATATTAAAGTGTTTGGTGTACTGTCTTGATAAACATGAATTCAAATATTTATAATGAAATGATAAAAAATATAATGCTTCAATTTAATCTCTAATTTTACTTGTAATTTAGTTTTCAGATTTGGTCTGACATTTGACATTTGACATTTGACATACTGTGTGTTGCGTTACTGATATATCGTTAACTATTGTTGTTTAGGGTGTTAGAGGAAGTGAACTTTGAAGCCAGATTTGCAGAGCTACCTGAATACCATCCAGAGGATCATCGATCCGAAGTTACTAAGTTAAAATCACCAAGAGAACTTGTCGGCAGTTACAGAAGAAAGAGAAAAAATTCTACAGGTACAGAATTATTTGAATCCTTAGAATACACTTTAATAGAGTAGAGATGTCAGCAGCAATGGTTATTCTGAAAATATTTTAATAGCAACTCATTCTTTCATTAACTTAAGTTGCTTTTTACCTTTTCTGTATCATCATAGATGAATAGTATGGTATATGAGTGGAAAATGTCTATTCTTGTTTTGTTGTTGTTCACTCAAACTCAAAAAGTTTTTATCCAATTTCTTTCAAACTTGGATATTATATTAATCAGTTTGGAACCATGTTTGATTTGATTACATGTTATATGTATATTTTCCATGATATTTATTAAATTGTCGGCTTTTAAAATTTGACTGAAATAAAACATTTTTGGATGTAGAAATCAGTAGACAAAATATAAATATTTATACTGTTGATAATGTGAACTGGATGTTAGTAATATATCCAAGCTCTGTCAATTAGATAAGTGTGGTAAACTGATACGTTATTATAAATATTTTAGTATTTTAAGTTGCTTATATAATTATATTACTGCGCTATTATTTTATTTTATGATGAAAATGGAGTTGGCTAGTATTTTTCTTACCAATTTTTTTTAGATACATGTATATTGCTGTACTAGTACTTTTAACAATTTTTATACAATTCAAGTTATATTATTCTATGAGTGACATTGAGATTAATACAGTATATGTTATTATTCGAGGAACATGAATTATAATTATTTTCTTTTAGCAAAATGTATATATATATTATTGCATTTTACTCAATTTTGTCGTACAAAAAAAAAATTGCCTTGTTAGTTATCCATTCATACGTTATTTAATCTTGGTTTTCAGTGGAAAATATTGTAATAGTTGCACTATGGTTTTTTTAGGTAAATTGGAGTATGATTCGGGTACAGATACTGATCCCATGTCACCAAAATTAAAACAGAGACGGCATTCCAGTAGTTCGGAACCTGGCACTCCTGGACAGCGTACAATTGGAGAGGATAATGTATTCCAGTGGGGTGAGAAGGCAATTGCAGCAGCCGGAAGTGGGTCCAGTCTTGATGCTCTGGCTGAAGTTGCCGCAATGCAACGTGCTGCAGGTATGTATTGCTGTGACATAATACAATTACACTCTGATTCTATTTTGTTTTTTTCAGCAGGTATATGTTTTATATTTAGACAATTACATTTACCTTATTTGCATGTCCTTTCACTGTGGCCTTTACTCAAATTCAAACTGTCAGTCAAGTATGGCAGTTTAACCTCAAATCGCTTTACGCAAATGCAATTGTTTTTACAGTATATTACTGTAACTCCTTATTTTTTCTGGCAATTCATTTCACTATTTGTTTCTCTGCTTAAAATTCACAGATTCTTCACTAAAACAACAAGCTCTATTATAACTTCACATGTTTATGATTTAATTTAGAGAATTTTTACAAAAATTAAAACAAGATGATTGAGAGTTTTGTTCCGTTCCACAGCAGGCCAGACTTATGAATGTCATTAGAAATTGACATTTCTGGTCATTGCAAACACATTGCAAATGTGATTGGATTGAGTTGGTCACATGGTGTCAAAACTAATAAATCTGATTGGTTAATAATCTTAGGTAAAGATGAAGATGAAGAAGGTGATGTTGAAGGAGGTGGAGAGAAAGCACCTTACTCGTCACTTAGAAGAACTCTAGATCAACGTCGTACATTGGTAATGCAGTTATTTGAAGAGCATGGATACTTTCCATCTGGTAGGTTTCTGTCGTCGTTACTAATTGGCTACATGGTTTCTGTCGTCGTTACTGATTGGCTACATGGTTTCTGTTGTCGTTACTAATTGGCTACATGGTTTCTGTCGTCGTTACTGATTGGCTACATGGTTTCTGTCGTCGTTACTGATTGGCTACATGGTTCCTGTCGTCGTTACTGATTGGCTACATGGTTTCTGTCGTCGTTACTGATTGGCTACATGGTTTCTGTCGTCGTTACTGATTGGCTACATGGTTTCTGTCGTCGTTACTGATTGGCTACATGGTTCCTGTCATCATTTCTCATTGGCTACATGGTTTCTGTCGTCGTTACTGATTGGCTACATGGTTTCTGTCGTCGTTAATGATTGGCTACATGGTTCCTGTCATCATCTCATTGGCTACATGGTTTCTGTCGTCGTTACTGATTGGCTACATGGTTCCTGTCATCATTTCTCATTGGCTACATTTATTGTCTGTGTGTCACTTAACTTGCGTTATCTCTTTATATTTCTGCAGGACAAGCAACTACAGCATTTCAAGCTCGTTACAAAGAGACTTTCCCGACTAAAACATGTCTGCAATTAAAGATACGTGAAGTACGACAAAAGATAATGCAGCAACACCAGCACCAGCAGCAGGAAGAAATGCAGCCTGGCACGACTGTTCCTCATACTACTATGGCTGTTGCACAGCTGCCTGTAGGGTTGCAATTTCACTCATCGCAGCTTTATCCTCCTTCACTTGCACCCCCAGCACAGCATCAGCCTCCCCCGCCACCACAGTCTCAAATCCCAGTGACTGCTGTACCTACCTCAACTACAAAGTAAAATTTGGATGAGTGCATTATTTAGTGGGGGTGACAACTATCATTTATAGGGACAGGAGTTCAAGATACATGACAGAATTTGCTAAGTTGTTAGTGTTTGAATAGCAACTATCCTGGCAGTGGGTGGCCCATATTGTTAAATATTCTAGTTAGGCACAATTTTTGATGCATTTTACTTTTTCTAAGAAATTAGGATGAAAATTCTAAACACCTAATTAATTTTCATGAATTATTAATTCATCAAAATCTACCCAGAATATTGTAATTCTTTGGTTTTCAAATCAGCCTTTTCTGATTACTGACATTCTTGACCCATTAGGTCAGGGGTCACTAAGATGAAATAACCTCATCCTTTGTAACAGATTGTAACAATGACTTTTTCTCATTGCACCAATGTGAGGTCCAGTTGTAAGGGTATATTTATTAAATTGTATAATTCAATCCTGATGTGATTACTGTACAATGCCAACCATCTGTGGAGCCTGTTGTCATGGTTTCACGTTGATGTCTAACTTTGAACATTACACATAAATGTGATGATAGTATTTGATTGGTCACACCACCTGTTCTAATTTACATATTGTACTATGGGGATATCACAATTTGATTGGTTGAAAACATGGAATTTAATTTATAAATGTTATGAATTGTGGATAAACTGTGCACAAAGGAATGTGCATATGTGAATTTGCAAGAGAACTTTTTGTCATAATGATGTCTCAATTGTCTCGCTGATGTGATATGGTTTCCCCATAAATTGTGCATATATATTTACAAAAGTGTTTGCGGTTTTCTTCTACTGCCATTATGTGTTATTTTTGTATGTTGTCTCGGGGTGGGAATGTCAAGGGGTAGGGGTGTCTATTGTCTGGGGGTGGGGATGTGGATGAAGGTGGGGATTATGAGAGAATTGAACAGTACTGCTATTTTGAATGTAAAGATGTACATTTTTTATTGTTAACTTTAAAGAAAGCTGGTGTTTCTGGTGAATGAATAATAGCAGTGTGTGGGTTTAACCTGTTTTGACGAGATTAAACTTTTTTGATCACATTACCTAGCTTTATAAGATTTTTTTAATAATATTTTTCAATTACTTTGAAAATGTGTGAAGTGTTTTTTTTTTTGATTAAATATTCTGAAATCCTTTTTAAGTCCTCCAAAATGTTGGACTTATTTTATTTTGAGTTGACTGATCTGTATGTATATGATAGAATCTGAAATATCAGAAAAATGATTTTTGTATCGAGCACAACTTAATGTAAAAAGTGCCATGATTATTGAGTGATTATTGATCCCTGTAATTTCTCTAGCCTTCCTTGCTTACCTTTTACTTCACTTTGGTATAGTCCCTTGCATCATATTCTTGTCATGGAGAAGAATAGAAGGCTTGGTAATGAGCATATACCCATCCTAACTTTGTCCTCCATTGTGTGTTCTTGTGCTGCTTTCTGAAAAATGTAATTGTTGGTTTTACTTCGCTCTTTTACTTTTTTTTTCTGTTTTTCCTCATCAGCTCTCCTGTATGCATATTTATATTGTGTTTGTTTACAACACATGAGATAATGTCAACTTTTTCAAAAATGTTTTCACCACCAGAATTTGTCTGCATATTTCACTTATATTCTTTAATATGTCTGGAAATGAACCTTAATTTAACAAACTAACAATTTGAGTCAATTTTCAGTTTTTACTCAAAAAAATTTGGCTATTTTTGTCCCAGTTCTGAAAAAAGGTGCAGACTATAAGCAGAACTATTTTGTGAATTTGTGATGAAAAGAGGGAACTGGTGGTGAAAAGATTGATCATCATTTCACATAATAAGCGAAAAAATATTATTTTTTTTAAAAACAATTATTAAATTATTTGTTTTTGCTATAGATGCTATTCTTATACATCTGTTACCATGGGCGATTTATTGTTAGTGTATGAGTTAATGTATAACTAGCGATGTTATTGTTAGTGTATGAGTTAATGTATAACTAGCGATGTTATTGTTAGTGTATGAGTTAATGTATAACTAGTGATGTTATTGTTAGTGTATGAGTTAATGTATAACTAGCGATGTTATTGTTAGTGTATGAGTTAATGTATAACTAGCGATGTTATTGTTAGTGTATGAGTTAATGTATAACTAGTGATGTTATTGTTAGTGTATGAGTTAATGTATAACTAGTGATGTTATTGTTGTAATCCCAACACAAATATTGATTGAGACATTTTATCTACATACGAGTAGATATTAGTCTTTAGCTGAAATGAAACAGAATTTACAAAAACAACAATTGTTGACATTGTGCTCCCTTTTTCTAAAGGTTCCAACTCATGGAACATTCTTCTATCAAAGTAGGATATTTCTACTAGTATCTTTTTGTAGAACACAGAAAACATGCAAGTATTTGTAGAGCCTAGATTCCATGCTGTAAAACTATGTAGGAATTTGCAGTGCAATATTCAGCAGCAATATTATCCAATTAACACTTGTGTACTAGAAATCAAGAGAAAAATGTAGATAACATTGCACTGTATAAATGATTCTTATTCTATAATAATGAAAGTAATATTTTAGAGGATTTGACTTTTTAGATTTTAGTCTATAAGACAAGTATTTAACATTCTATTCAGCAGCTTCTTTTTTTCACTGCAGCTTCTGGAACAATTGAATAAATTAAATGTCCATTTGATAGAATGATAGTTTTATAGAGAGAAATTCAAACATATAAACAGTATGCACATACAATTATTGCCTGATGCTTCTTCTATTCAATAAGCTTTTGGCCAATCATCTGCCCTTGAAATATTTCCAACCAATAAAATGATAGCAATTCTTGATCACATGACATTTTTGAGCCAATATTTCGTCAGAGACTGAATTTCTTTATTTGAACTCAAATTGTACTAATGCTAAAAATTCAGAACAGAGCTGTGTTGTTTTTTTTACCATTAAATGGATTCATTGAGAAATATTAATTTAGAAAATTGTTTCTCTTGCTTTTTAATTTAACTGCCTGTTGCTTTTTGTGTTACTGGGTGGGACATTATTCCATATATGGTGTGATGACATCATTATTGAGTGTGTCACCATACCATATAAAGTAACATCAGATATGTAGTGATGTTTTCACTTTTATGGTAATATGTCCATATATGGCATACCTCTTTGGTTGAACTTGACTGTTTACAACATTCAAATTATATCTGAAATGTACATCAATATATATATTCTTGTATATTGTTTTGTTTTGTCATTTTTTTAGATTCATATATATACTTATTGTGCAATTTTCTGTTTAGATTGTGTTTGTTTTGCAGACAACCCAGCTTATAGAATAATGGTATTTGCTTACTGCAAGATATTTGAAGTGCATGTATGTTTTATGAATAAAATAAAATTTTGTTTTTATGTTGCAGTGCATTTGAAATTAATAGTTTCCTCTTCTTTTGTTTTGTGTATGAGAGAACATGTATGGGGTGCAGTTTTGATATTTTATATATGGTCTGGAGAGTCCTCATACACAGGCTTTAGTCAGCCACTGCTCCAAACCATCTATAGTTGTAGATTTATGTTTATATTACTTTTGAAGATATTCATTGAGTTGTGTCAAAACAAATAGATTATGAATGCAGTTGCAAGAACATTAACCTTTTCATCACAAATTAGTCGTGCTTATAGTCTTTCCTTTAGAAGCTTTGGACAAAAATAGACAAATTTATTTGAGTGAAAACTGAAAATGGACTCAAATTGTGTATGTTGGCTCCAAAATTGGGGTTCATTTCCAGAAATACTGATAAATTTAACGACTTTGGGACAAGTCTGGTGGTCAAAAAGTCAAGTATTCAGAGTTTGTTGTCATTCTCGTAAAATAAAATTGACTTTGTATGAGGTCTGAGTTTGAACACTTCTTCCTTGGTCTCTCTTTAGCACAGTAAAACTTGTCAGCACTTCACCTGTGATGTCACCTGATCGGTATAAAATGTCTTTGGACAATTTAAGAGAAACTGAAGGACTTGATAAAAATACTGTAAAACATGTTCACATTGCATAGCTACATTGCATTTCAGTTAATTTGACTTGATGCAAGAAAATAAACAGAAACTTAATTTAGCCAAAGTGTCAACAATGTTATTGTGAGAATAAAATAAACTTTATTTTAAATTAACGACATCTTGAATTAGTAAAATTATGAATTACCTAAAATATTGTGATTGCTAAAAAAACATGTTTTACAGCAACGGAGCATTCTGATTGGTCAAAAAACACAAATCTGTGTTTTTCTGATCATGAAGACCAAGGAAAATACTGATTTTGTGCGCAACTCAAAATCCTGATTGAACTTTAGGAAAGTTGGGTTTTCTTTAACCACGTTTTATCTGAAACGCAATGTATTAGGGCGTAATCTAAATAAGTCAGCTGTTAGACTTGTGTGTGTAGCTTTGACAAGTACCTGTGGATCTTGGTAACTCTCGATTAGACACTTCCAAACTGGCTGCATTTCTGGGAATAAGGAAGGTAGAAAGACTTGACAAATCCATATGTTTTGTTTACATACATTTTGTAAGAGTTTTAGCTGACCGTGTGTTTACTGGCTAAAATTCTATTACATACATGTGGTTTCAACAGATTAAAACAATATTTTGATCTTTCTAACCCTTTTTCTTAGAGAAATTCACCCAAATGCTAACATTGTTATTGAGTTCTCATTAATATGAGAAGCTGCATTGTATGATGACTGCTGCCCTCTATAGTCTTAATCCATAGAATGAGTGTCATTTTTGTTTTTGAAAAAAATGTTTATTTTACAAACTTGAAATGAGCATGGACAAAACTTACCTAAATTCTTCTCTCAACAAAGCGACAATTCATTTTGTTGTATGCAACACTCTTGAATGCATCATTAAACCTTTCAACGCCAAAGTCAACAATTTTTTCCGTAGTTTTACCAAATTTGAAATCAAGACCTATAGCCAATATGAAATTATGTCAATCTGGTAAAAAATGACATAAAAAGAGACAAAATGTTTCACCCAAATCTTGACAGGAAAAATTATAAAGTTTAAAGGGTTAAAGCAGATCTCAGTTATTCAACCTAATCAATAGAAACAGAAACATTCAATTTTTGTTTGTTTTAAAAGTGTCACAGAAATATTAGTTTTGATAGCACAACATTTTTGTTTGGAAAATACTGCTTAAAAATGAAGCACTTTTTAGAGACATTTGCCTTGGCAGCCATGTTAAAAATAGTAATCATTCAAATGTCAAAATAATTCATGACAACTATTCATCTTACATCTACAAATAATTTGTTACCACATGTAACCAAACAAATACATGAGACTTTTTACCATAGGAACCATTAGATATTTGGAGAGTATCTTTTTTAACAGGGTTTTGTGTACTACAGCTTAAAATAAAAGCATACTTTATATGTAAATTACAGCCACATATATGAACAAATAAATATGAAACATTAGATTTAAACTTGACAAATGCACCTCACCACTGTAAGCAAACATGTTCCCTGTTACGCCACAACACACTGTCCCAGTGCCAACTATCTTCCCGTATAAAGATAAGTACTGTGACAGTATTCCGGTTCTGTACAGACCTCACTAATAACACCCATATACAAAAACAAATAATTTTAATTTAAAAAAATCTTTATTTCAAATGTAACATCAAAGTATATTACAAACATAATGATTAATAAAAATAAAAACTATCTTTCTACTTTAAAATAATGAAAATTATATTTTGAATCTTAAAAGACAGTATTTTATCTTTTAGTGGAATAAAAAAAAAATTAAAAAGGAACATATAAGAAGATTTTGTACAAAATGGGACGAGAAGTAATAGTGTCTTGTTTGCTGACATGAGAAGAGTTTGTACAAGAATAAAAGTTAATGGGAGATAAATAAGACAAGAGTTGTTTCCATGAATGTTTAATCTCCTTCCTCTCCTGCATCTTCTGCCGCATCATCCGCAGGTGCATCATCATTTCCTTCCGCTTCTTCCGCCTCGTTTCCTTCTCCTTCTGTTGCTGCAGGTACTTCACCATCTTCTCCAGGTTGTTCCGCTCCATCAGCTGCCTCACCATCACCTACAAGACAGTAAAATATATTATGATATCAAAGACACCAAAATAGGATATATGTCATATACGGATAGGCTCATACTAATTACTGACTACCATAATTGTTCATGGTAATCCTAAACAAATAGAACACACAATGGTGTAAACCACTGTATTTTTAAGGCTATGAATGTCCACAATTTGATGGTGTTTGGAGTGAAAATATTTAGAAGTTGAAAACCCATATGAATGTGTTAAAAGTGTGAGATATTTTCCTTAGTGGTACAGTGTGCATAATGTTTACTTTTGGCACTGTACTTCATACTTTGTGGATTTCTTATAACTTTAATTCAAAGATCAAAAATTTGTTTTATTACAGACAAAACATCAGCCCATGCTAACTGATTCAAGATTCTAACCATTGCTAACACGACATCATGATTAATCTGCGAGTCTCTACAAAATGCCAAAATAAAAAAGAAATGTGTTTAGCTTATAAGATCATAAATACTGGATGCTATTTGGGTTTGTTTGCAATAAGTTTTACTCTGCAGAAATTGTTAATACATGTAGCTGATAAAGGTGAAAAATATTGGGTCAGTGAGAGTAAATATTGGGTCAGTGAGAGTAAATATTGGGTCAGTGAGAGTAATCATTGGGTCAGTGAGAGTAAATATTGGGTCAGTGAGAGTAAATATTGGGTCAGTGAGAGTAAATATTGGGTCAGTGAGAGTAAATATTGGGTCAGTGAGAGTAAATATTGGGTCAGTGAGAGTAAATATTGGGTCAGTGAGAGTAAATATTGGGTCAGTGAGAGTAAATATTGAGAAATTATTGACTCATCTTACCAGCTGCAGGTTGTTCTCCATCTTTTCCTTCCTCTCCTTCTTGTCCTTGCTCATCTCCACCTGGAATACTAAGTGTGATCTCTGTCACTTTACCAGCTTTCCATTTGGGAACTGTTACTGTCACTGGCTCCTCTTCTTCTGTTTCTCCTCCTTGTTGCTATAGAAACAAAGAGACAATTGATAAGCAAGAACACAGCACATGTGTTATTAAAGTAAAAGAAATGTATTTTATTCATTATTTATTCATTATTGATTTAATCAACTGTCATATATCCTCCTTTTTAGAAGACGATTTTTAATGGAAGACACTTTTCTCTAAGTGTTTAGTTTTCAATAGTAATACGAAAACAAAATTATATCACTTGATACCATGTTGTAAAAACGATTTGAAATCTCTTAAAACAGGATAAAACAATAACTAAATCAAATAAACCAACATTTTGTAAACCGTAAAAAAATCGCCCCAAGAAATATTTGTTTCAATTACTCAAGTGTTTACATCATAGTTTAAAGTTGCACCCTGAGACCATTTATACAGCTGAAAGTGGGACTATATTATGTGAAAATATATGATTGTCTGAATTTGTGCACTGCAAGAAAATACCAATGATTGTACAAAATTCTGTTTTCAATTGCTGTGGGCCGCAGTATTTCAGAACAGAAGTTACCAGTGTGAATTTTGTGAACAAAA